AACCGAAGTGAGGCTCTAATAACGGAAACAGATTTTTAGCGTCTTACAGGTCATCACCATGGTTGTCCTGAAACTTTTTACGAAGATTTCACCCGTCATTGAAGATATTCGCGGTGTTAGTCACTTGTGATTTTCAAATGTTACAACTTGGTGTAATCTGATTCGTGGCATTCCAGATAGGAGTGCAGTGTGGGCGCCTTGCGTTGATTTCAGATGTCGGATTATTCTGTCACGTCTGAGGCTATCACACGAATGTTCCGTTCTAAAGCGAAGAAAAAAGGTCTTTTTCATTAAAACCGTTGTCCACGAATCCTTTTTCTCGCTGTCATCACCCTTCTTGAGTTGCATACATACTTTGAAGGAAGGTCAAAACAAGAAATGTGTCAATTCTAAGCACAGATTCAAGTTCTATCCAAAGTATAATTTTAACTCTCATTGAACGTTGTGCGGCACTTGTTCCGAAGAGAATTCCATTGCGGAATTTTGCTTAACCAACGAAGAACTCTCGCTGTTTCAATGATCATACCTACTCAACATTTTTTCTGGCTAAAGATATGAACGGCACTGAAAATTATGACATTTCTGCTTTTTAATAGCAGTAGAATTCATTTAATCTCTAAAATTACTCATTTTTGAGAAAAAATTCGTGTTATCGCGAATATAACGGAATTTTGATTTGCCTAGAACAGTAAAGCCTTTCATGGGCGCAATTCGGCGACCAGTGGTGGGGGGGGGGGGCATTTTGCACCTTTTGCTACTTTCCATCGACGTGTCGACCCATAAGAGCCTTTTCGTGAGTTGACAGGTTTCACCATTGTGGCTCGATGAGCTTGCTCCAGCTTCACAGGAGTTCACAGGTTTCATCAGGTAAAGTATGCAAACCGGAACTAGTGGAGCAATGAGAAGTGCAAGATGCCCTCCCCTGTCGCCGAACTCCCCTCTCATGCCTTTACACAGAATTCTATCTGGTCGGAACGGCTTTTATGTAAAACACATGCCAGCGATGGAGTGGGAGTGGCTGCATACTCTACTTGAGCGTGACGTAGGATACGCTGTTCGATACTTCCATCGAATACAAGTGTGGTCATTTCTTGTACTAGACAAAGTTATGTTTGCGACTGTTCTGGAACGGCAATATCTCGTCATGTACACCAATTGCCGCCACGTTTAAATGAATTACGCAGCTAAGTACTTCACCTGTGGGATATGGAGTGAATAGTACATGAAAGGAATGGAAAATGTATGAGTAGGCGCCAACCATCTGGCATATGGGTCTGTACCAGGTTAAGCCATGCTTTCTCTTTCCATTCGAAGCCGTGCTGACACTTGAAGGCGTTCTGTTCCATAGACCGACTCGTGCAGTCAGATGACTTGACTACATTGAGATAAAATAGTGAGCCGTGGCTACTGCACAGTTCCATCCACATTCACAGTGATTCACGTTGAGCTTATTCCCCTATATGTTAGTGCCTTAGCAACGCCTTGCTCGAGATAACGTTCTCCTTACAAAATGTGAATGGTGATCCCAGCGTTCTTCGGAGCTTTCTACAGAGCGAGCCTTGAATTCGACTGCCCTCAACAAGTCTATCACCGCTTTGTGCATCTTAATCCGTGCGTTCACCATTCACCACCCCCCTGAGCGGGTAAGCGCAATTCTGTGGAGTTCCACGACACGTTCCACGACTTGTTGTCCCCATTGCTTGTATCTTTGGAACCTCTCGTATAGAAACGATCACACAGAAATTACTAGTTTTCCGTGGATGTGCCTTAAATTGTTTTATCTGTTACAACTGTCATTCAGGTAATGGTTGCTGTTATGGTTATCAAATATGAATATTTTCAGAGGAGACGGAGCAGAAAGCCGGAATTCCACCTTCTCGGTCGCCAGAAGTGAGTTTAGTGTAGTTGGTTCTCACGTGAATGTCGCTTGGCATTCTCCACCTGAACTGCGGTGACAGCAGGATTGTTGCAGCGGCAGCTTCCACTTGCGCACAGCACTTCTCCGCCTTCGTTCTTTGGAGAAAATGACAGGACGAAAATTCTGCAAGAACTCCTCAAATATCTCCGAAATGGTGGGTGCACTGTTCATCAACTGCTTACTTATTTACTCATTTATTTATTTATTTACTTATATATTTATTTGTTTATATTTATTTATGGGTAAGTACAGCGTGCCCAAATGAAACAAAGGGCTAATGTAGATTAACCATTCTTAGAGCAAACAACTAAACAAAATCAAAAATCCAGCTGCAATTCAATTGATGATTACCCACTCAGGGGTCAGATAGAATCAGCCAAAGCAGCAGTTAGTCAGGAAAGTGGAGTCACAGGATTAACTAGACAATGTCAGACAGTTAGGACCAGGTGGCACAAATCACAAAGAAGTAAAGTACAAAAATCCTAGTGATGTTGAAGGCTTCGCTCACAAGATACTAGTAACTGGTGATAGAAGCTACAGTCCACACCAGCTAGCCATGGTGTCCTTAGCAGACGAGGGGTCATAAGGGTAAGCCGGCACTCGGGTATACCGGCAGCCCTCGCCGGCACACTGGCCAGAAGCGACAGCACACAGGTACTAGACCTCGAACTTAAACCAGAGCCGACTGTCATTGAAGGTGTGATTTTCATCGAGGAGGAGGGGATATTAGGCTAACTGGGTCAACTTCTACTCATGAGCGACCAAGACAACAAAGAAACAAAAAGTCTCAAAGCAACTAGTGAAGAGGATTTTGTATATTGTGCTCTCGTAGCGGGGAAGATTAACTATCAGAAAAACTATCTGGAAGTCAAATAGAAACAAAGATGGTGTGCCAGCATGGGTTCATCGCAATCGATCTAAAAGAGCGGAGAATTCAAGTCTCAGAGTGAAATATCTTGCCGATGTGAGCCTGCGGAGGGCCCCCGTATGTGTGTGTGCCCGTCAACTTGTTAATATGTAACGTGAATAGGCTGTTCCTTCAGTAATGAAAGTGTTCTATTCGACGCACTCAAAATTGACACGAAGTTTTTGGACAACCCCGGCAAAGTTTTGTTGTGACGTGATTGTTGCTTCTGTTCAGTATATTGAACAGCAATATTTTACAGAGCCAGAGGAAGATGCCGTGGGCGTAGTGACTGACTTTCTATTCTATTTGCTGCGAGATGGCTGCCTTAAAACCTTAGTCACAATGTGTCTTTCATTACAAGGATATTTGTATTCTTCGAATGAAGTAAGTTGGCAGATAACGTTGTACATTGTCAGTCAGTATGACGTTCTTTCATGATTTTTCAGAATCGCTCGATTAACTATGGCTGGCTGTTCGCACTTAACTTCATATTCGATTCGCTTGATGAAAAATGTCGCGCAATGTACGGCGCTCCTATGATACGTTCGGCAATTGAAAAATCCCAAAAATTTGATATCAAGAACGAGCTACAATAGTGTAGGTTCCATACTGAGTGGGCCACTGCTTGGAACACTACATTAGTCGAATTTTCCTTCTTCTGCCAAATGGCTTTCTTCAGATGGAACTTTTATAGGGTCTAATTACGACCGTAAAATTAGGAATGAAGTTACAGTAGCTCCCTGCCGTCCGCAACGACAGTGGTCACTTGAGATTTTTTTACTAATAGTAAGAAAGAATAAGAGACGTAAACTCGTGCTCGATTTGCGCTTACCTCCCTTTGCACTGAAGCACGCTCATTCGCGAAATCTTGCAAAACGCAACCATTCCAAAAGACTTCTGTGCAAGGCTGTACAAAAATTTTCCTGTGATCCTAGGACGCATCTTCTAGCTGGACTGAACTTGAAGGTAGTTCATTCGCAGTCTGCAAAATGCGCTCCCAAGGTTCGGAAGTGTTCAACGCTCCACTTTCTTTTGCAAAATTATTTTACAATTCCCGCCGGCCAATTACAATTCCCTTCCCTTCTCGTTTTGGTTCCCTCAACGATGCCATGTTCTGTTAGGGCGGAGATTTCACTAATCGTCAGTATTGCTCGTGAGGTTCCAAAGTCTACTGAGTTGCCCAGCTAATTTTCTCTAGATCGGTGGAGTCCTGAAAATTCCATTGGACAGAAAAACAGAGGTAAATCGACAGGTCGATAATAGTGTACAGCATGTAAACACTCACCAAAAGTTATGCTACATGTCCAGTTCTTGAACTATCCTCACTGCTTCTTTAGGAATAAGTTTGCACCACCTTGTTTTGCATTAGGGACCTTTTCGTTTCAATTGCACACTTTTCACTTAAGTTCATAACATAACATGTGATGGATAACAGTGCCCGCTTGGTGAGTCCGTCTACTGTGATCTCAGATTTGTTTGTATATTTAATGTTGATTTATGTCCATATGAAGATAAATATTTATCCTCAGAAGAATAAAAGCAAAGAGCAATCGATGGGAAAATGTTCGCTCGAGAGCCATGTGGTGTGTCGTGTGTGCTTGCTTATATAAAAGAGAATGGCAAAGCACTCCATCGTTGTGGAAATCACAAAACGAGGGTCGCATTAGACCGCGAGAAAGGAGGTGGGGACCCACAAGCGCAAGGACTCATTCGGAAGCGGGAAGAGCAGCGATATACAGATGTGTTGCAGATCCTACTGATAAACAATTTGTTCATGCTTCTTGTTGTGAAGAACCCCTGAAGAGACACCTGAAGACAAAGGCAACACGCAAGTTTAGAAGGGGGAAATGGCACTGAGAATAAACTTTGTAAACGTCGACGACGACTTATGCAATAATAAACAAGAAATATAGTTAGGAGCACATCTGCTCGCTCGGTGAAGCCTTATCTAGGACTTTCCACTTTTCCAGCACCTCTGGATGGTTGTCGGATGCAGGCGCAAACTAGTTCCTGAACTTCAATGAAAAGATATGTTCTAGAAGCTTATTCAAGTCTTCAAACGAACTGGAAATGATATGTGCCGGGATACGGATTGTTCGCGTCTGCGAAACTTATCGCGACAAAAACAACGGGGAATTTCCCAAATCGGCCCTCGGAAGATTGAGGTGCTCCTTCCTGGAGTTTTATTAGGAGTCACAATGAAGAAAGGTATGGCTGTTCAAAGCATGAATACTCGTAGGTGACACTGAAATCCCACAAACGGGGAATACCCTTGAGAATGGGTGGTTGAAAAGTCTCAAGCACATATAATAGCGCTAGTATATACTATTTAATAAATATCTAACCTGCATCTTGAGAATCTGGCTTTACGCTCTTCAGAAATTGTACTCCCGAAAAAGATAGCTTTCACAAAAAGGGTAGTTCCGAAGTTCCTATTTTGTGAAGAGAAACGCGAGATTACTTTTCTCGTGCTGAATATGCGCGAACGCTCAATGCCCATATGTGAGATTCGATACCATCTCACGTTTAGGGAGTCGTAGAAGATAGAGTAGAAGTCAACACCCTCTTCTGATCTCTTTGACAGCCATATTCATCTGAAATTGTATCGTTTGGAGCAGGATAGATATGTCGTTGCCATCATTCGAACAGTGGCGCTACTTATGAGGTATTCATCGCCAATATCTTTCCCACTGACTGTGGTTGTACTGTGGAATGAATGCAGTTCGAACTTGGAATCAACTCACGGATGGTTGCGTAGGACTATACGCCCATGGCGCTGAGCAAGGGAACTCTTGGAAATGTTGTAGGATTCTCTCTCCAACCTAACACCTCTCGGGTTTCTCGCCACATTTCCTAAGCTGTGTCTCTAGTGCGACCGCACAGTATCTCGAGAATCGACACCATTCTACAATAGATATACTCAAAATCCCTGAGGGTAGGCGTGACTTCATGCTTCAACTTAACCTGAAGGGGTCTACGCTTCTGGTGAGATATTTTCATCGTTGACACAATTGTTGTGGAACAAAGATGACAGTTGTTCCAGACTTTTAATATTCCACGAGTAAACAGTTCCTGCCATGTTCAAGTGCCACGCGTACTCTGGCTCAGGGATAAGAAGTACACCTTTGCGCCTCAAAACAGCAGCTCCAGGTAGCCACTGCAAAATAGTCCTATATCACAAAGTAGAACACCGCATGCATCTTCTCTTATAGATAACTGAGCGCACCCTGAGTAACCGGAGTAAACGCGGATGTACAAACGAGAAGGAATGTGAACTAAAGGATGTGCCGACCGATCTATGTCAGCAGTCAAAGTGCTAAGAAATCACTGTCTGACTAGTCCTTTGGTTATCACTGGTTGCTGTGGAAAGTTCTGATGCTCCCTGTCATCTGCATATGTATGCAGCCGAGTGCACTATCGCGGCCTCTGGGAATATTTGTTCATGTACTATTCAATATTACTGTTCCTCTCTATTGTGCTGCAAAGTTGATTCAATCGATTCTCCACGTCAGTCCTAGATGGTTTTGAATTTGTTGGTTGCTCGTCATGATCAGGTCGCGGTTTACCTTCATGGCTGTCTCACTACTCTCTGTGTTGGCGATCATTCATCTTGCCAGTAAGTTTATAATCATTGGTTGGTAATCCTTCTATACATCGAAGTCCCTAGAATTTGAAAGATTGAAGTCTAGAAAATGCAAGGCACTTTGGAACGAACTTTTTGTGAAAGTTTATGCCATGAGGCTCCGCTTATATTTTGCGGGACACGTCCACGAGCTACCACGCATGGGAGCTATTTCTATGCGAGAAATTGTTCATAGGCGACATGTTCCATAACTGGCACATCAGTCCTACCACTTTGTTACTTACCGTACATACCTGGCATCATTCTATCATTCTGTTAAGTCATCCCACTCGAAAATGTGAACACATATACAGGAATGGCAGGAAAGCAAAGTGGCTATTGCTGTGAGCTTCTGTATCTTTTGAGAGCGAGCACCTTTACCTACGTATAGCGGAATTCTGCTGCGAGTTTAGGAGAAAATCTGATGAAACTGTAAGGAATCTCGAGTGGCCGAAATCAGCAGGGAGTTATGGAATCGGGCGTCATAAGAAGAGAAAGTGCGCTGTTAAAATTCATCCTAGGCAGAACCAATAATCGCACATAATGGTGTTCTCCACATGGAACATAGAAGGTTCGTTTCAGAAGTCCAAAGAAGAACGAGCAAAAAAAAATTGTGGTCGAGAAGGGCTTCAGACGTTCATCCTGTGCAAGGAAAGAGGGTGGATAAAGTCATGCGCTGAATGTCTGGTCACAGATGATGGACCCTTGTTGAGCTTGCCCGGGGGAGTGACATCCCTGCTGCAACCGGTAGCTAAGTTATGACTGAAAGATTGAAGATCAAGACGGTGTGTATTTGGGCGTGTCATTTCGATTCTGTGCCTGCAGCAGCAATGTCCATCGCTTAGGACGTCTTTCAAAACTGAGCAAACGCACCGTGGCCCTGCGAGATATAGGTGGTCTTGTACTCGGAACCAAAACTCGCAAGCATCAGTTTTGTACATATGAATGCAGATAAGATACGGCCTGAGTACTGTCATCAGGAGTTGTGTACGTGGCCTTAAGCGGACCATCATTATGGTAAAAGATTAATGCACTGTGCCTTCAAGCGGTTCTATAAGAGAACAAAACCGTCACTGTCGGTGCATATTGCCTGTTCCTCGGCAATCAGATCGACAAATGGATGGTACCACACAACTACAAGAAGGCCACCGTTGCTCGTCATAGTGCCAGACCCCGAGTAACTGTATTATTGGGCAGTGCTGGGACACAAACAATACTGAGAACTGGCTCCAGTAGCCCTACTCGCCCGATTACAGCGGTG